CGGCCTCCTGCCTGCGGGGTGCCCACTGTGCAGGCTGTGGCTGGTTTTTCGCAGCCCCTGCCTTCCTCGCTTCGCGTGTTTGAAACCTTTGGCTCTTAAACCCGCTGCTCGGGGAACAGCGTGCGCACCATTGCTTCCTCCCTAGCAGGCCGACCTCCAGCGCACGCTCCTGGAAGCGGGCGACTGGGCTCACAGGGAAAACCACTTGAACCTGGATGGATGGATGGATGGATGGATGGATGGATGGATGGATGGATGGATGGATGGATGGGGCCGAGTTGTTCTCACGAGGTTGGCCTGCCCACTGGGAGTGGATGCATCTGACTCCACCCCTCTCAGCAGATCCTGTGCGGATGAGCGTTTTAAACTTTAATCTTAGGAGCTGTCTGTTTCATTTCAAGGTGTAGTAGAAAAACATAATTTGCACATTGATTCCGCGAGTTTACGCTCCTACAGAGCTTTGTTTTAAAATAGTTTAAGTAAAAATGGCATGTTGAGCCCAGTAAATCGTATTATAGGCAGTACGTAGACATACAGGTTGCGACGGTTCGTGACCCAGGCTGGGGAAGTGTCGCCATGATTGCTTTTTGTCTTTGGAATAATAAAACCAAGAGCTTGTACCCTTGTGTGCCGCGCACCGTGCTGGGGGCTGCACCGTCACAGCAGAGCTGTGGAGCGGGCACCGTGTTCAGTCTCCATCTTATGGACAAGGCCCCGGGGGCTCAGCGGTGAAGTCACCTGCCTGAGGCCACACAGCGAACCCCCGCGCCTGTGCCCGTGGCTGCCCCTCTGCTCTGAGATGATTTCCCACTGGGACCTTCCCTTCAGCTTGCCCATCGACCCCCCGGCAGTGGCCGTCAGGGGCCCTGTGGCCCGCAGACAGCCCAGGGTACAGCGCCCGTCCAGGCGGCTGCTTCCTCCCCTGCGGGTCCTGCGGTACTTTCCTGCCCCTGCCCTGCGGCTCTGCTTCCTACCCTGCAGCTTCGCCTCGGCTCAGCCAGATTCCAGCCCACCGGTGAGCCAAGCCGCACAGCCCTTCGGACCAAGAGGCTCCTTTAGGTTTTGACTTAGAGATTTAAAGATTTTTTGTTCGTTTCGGATCTGTGCTTCCTTCCTTCTTAGCTGCTTGTGCCTGGACTCAGGTGATGACCTGAGATGCCCAGCTGGGAGCTGCCTGCCTTTCAGTCCTGAGGTTGGGCACTCACAGTGAAGACTCTGGTTTTAGGGTGGGCGCAGGGGACCCCAAGGGGACTGTCACTGGCTGGTGCTGCATTTGTGTGACATGAAGGTCGTTATCATCTGTAACTCCTTGCCAGGTAGAGGACTGGGAAGGCTGAGGAACAGAGAGGCAGCCAGGTGACACTCAGATGTGCCCGCTTGGCTGCCCCCATCTCTGGAGTGCAACAGACTTGAACTCCAGTCCTGTCTCTCCCATTTTCTTGCTTTGTGACCTTGGACAGGTTACTCTTTTAAGTCTCAGCTGGTCATCTGGAAAACCAGGATAGTAATACCTCCCCACCCTTGGGCCAGCCTGAGGATTTATGACATGATATGGAGCTCCCGGCACAGGGCTTGGCAGACAGCCTGTGCTCAGTTCATGGTGACAGTAAAAGTCACAATAGTTAATTATCATGTTGTTTCATTCATCAGTGTCTTGGCTCGGGATCAGACGTGGAAGGAAACTTGGAAATCCAAGCTTGCTTAGGACAAAACCTGGTGGGGCCTGAGCCACCTGAGATATGGGGACAGAAATCGCTTCAGGATCTATGGAGAGCTGACTCCTGGGGGAGAGAGAAATGACCAGGGACTGGAAATCAGGCGGTGATGCTGCAATAGGGATATAGTAGTTTCAGCCCTATTTCTGAGAGCACTTGGTCCTGAGCCCTGTGAACTCATTCAGGAGTTGAGGAAATGTGCTCACATGTGTTGGATCCCAGCCAGTGGCCTGTAGGGAGAGAGGTTGGGGTGTCTGGCAGAAATCACAAACCCAAACGCCTGCAAGGGCAGGTTGGGAAGGAAAGAGTGAAGCAGGCGTGGTGTGAGGCAATAGAGAATGGTGGGGACTGTGGAGAACTGGATAGCGTATCCCTCATCTGAAGAGGACAGCCATTGCTCAGCCCACAGCAGTGTGTGTACAGTGTTGCCACTAGTGATTTTTCAAAAGGAACCAGAAATTTACATTTTTAGCTGACGTTTCATGATTTTTAAAGATTTTCAAATCAACTAATTCAAAATTTTAAGAAGCACTACATGGGCCAAATGTAGCCTGTTTACAAGCTTGGTTTGTAAGCATGGACTCCAGGTTGTGAGCTCTGAGCATGAAGGAGGTCCCAGGCCAGGGATGGAGATGGGCTGCAGGTGGCTGTAGGGGGCCCGCCTGTGTGGCTTGGGTGGGGGGACCTGACTGTAGAACAAGGGGAGGGGAGGGATGGAGGCAGAGGTGGGCACTGCATCTTTTAATGCGATTAGAACAAGACCCTAGGGAGAGTTCTGAGGTAGAGGGTGCTTGGATCCCCCAGGCTCACCCCAGGGCAGGTCAATAGCTTCACCTCGGAGGCTGGAGGGAATGTATTTTGGTTTAAGGCAGAGCTGACGTCTAACCTGTCCCACCGGCTACGGTACCAGGTGTGAAAATATTGAAAAACTTTTACACCAATAGGCAAATAGCCACTGGGCCCCCCGAGCCGCCCCCTCATGCCTTCTACCTGCCCTCTTCCCCTCCGAGCCCCTCCCTGCCTCACCTGGACGCGGCCCAGCGATTGAAGGGTTAACGCCCAGCCAGCAGGTCAGTGGGCAGCACCTCAGTGGCTGCAGATGTCAGCCCCCCTCACTGGGCCTCAGGACGCCTACCTGGGCGGCTCACCCAGAGGAGACTTTGGGAGGACAGGGGAATCGAGGGACTCGGAGGGCAGGACGGCAGGTCCCCGCGGGGCGGGAACAAGGAGCACCGTCCGAGGTCACGCGACCTTGGTTCCCCCCGTTCCTTTGGGGCCCACTGTAAAAATGGCCACCTCAGCCCCGGGGCTGCTTGTCTCCTGGCCACCTGTGTCCTGGCCACTAAACATGCGAGACATTTGAGCCAAACATCACCTCTCTGCCAGCCACCTGTGTCCAGGGGGGGTGGGGCCTTTCAGAGTGCAAAGCCGCCCATCTCAGAGATGGCACCAGTGAGGACCAGGCGTGGACAGGCTCCCTGAACAATTCCCCTTGAGGATCGGGGGATCATGAGGACCCCAGGGTGGCGTTCTGAGCTCTCCTAGGTGGCAAGAGGTGAGGGGCAGAATTGATCCGGGGAAGCCCTGC